AAAATTCTGAGAGTATAATTCTACAACTTTGCTAAGTTTACAAATATATTATAAAAATTTCTATACTGACAATTAAAATGTACGAAATAACCTTATAGGAAGAAACAGTGTAAAACAATTACAGGAATCAAGTATTATAATTTTAAAGTTCTAAAGATGAGTTACAGATTCATGTTTAAATTTTGATTTTTTAAAGTTAGATAATATCATAAACGTAGTCACTTTTCATAAATGAGAAGGATCATGTCTTATTCCCCACTATATCTCTAGGACTTGCCTAGCATAGTACCATGCACCTAATATGTATTTAAATGTTCATTACTAAACAACCAACCATTAAAACAGTCAAAAAGTAATCTTCAGGGAAAATTAATTACCAGAAAATAAAGCAAGAAAGTAGTCAGAAGTAGTTTATATAGAAAAGAGCAATGGAGGGAAAAAAATATTTTAAAGTCTAGAGAGGGAGGGTCATCCATTATAAATCTCTCCTTACAGCGTGTTATTATTGTTCTGCAAGGAAACCTCACAAAGATTTACTCAACTAAAGACAATTTATTATTGCTACTTACCTAAGTTTTCTCTGTGTACTTCAAGTAAAAAGCCATCATGAAAATCTGGTTCACAGGCACATGGAACAGGTTTAGAACGAAAACGTTGGTTTCGAAAATGCAAACATAATGTAAAGGTTGAACAAACTTGTCCTGGTAAAGGCTCAGGTTCTTGCAGATGTTCCAAGAAAGCTTTTCCACCCAAAACCTGAAGGTAAAGATACCTCCGTGTTGGATCAATATTAGCTGCAAAGTGTAGCAATATATATGAGGAAACTGCCAAATAACTTAAGAAATGTGATCAAGACAATAGGAAATAATAACTTGACAGAAATAAAACCAAAGACAGCATGAGGGGTGGATGGGGGGCAGAAAAATAACACATTTACTGGATACCAGGACCATTTGCACCCAGGGAAGAAAAGATACATAGTATGACACCTTTTTCTGAGTTTACATTCTGGCTACTTTCTCCGAGTTAGAGAGGAGTCAGAGCCAAGGTTTAGGATGCCTTTGCTGTTAATGGCTTATCCAACATTCCTTCACCTCCACAAACCAACTCAGACAATTATCTCAGCTCAGCAAAGTGCACTTGTGAAATAATTACATTACCATTAAAAAAGCAAGGCTATACAATTTTTATAAAATGTATCATTAAAACATGTAAAATAGGTGTTTTTGCTTCAAAACTGTGCTATACATTAAATCTTCTGACATACTTCATGGAAAATAGAATCTCAGTTTTTTTGGATGATTACTCACAAAAATATAAGTATTTAATTCTGGGGGGGAAAAACTGAAAAGTTTTCTAACAAATACCAAATACTGTAGCACATCTATCCTCAGTACTATCCATAACTAAATGTTAAAAAAACAAAAAACAAAACACATACTTTTTTTTAATAACGTTGATTGTCTATCAGTAAAACAAATTGGTTGTTTTGGAGAGGGAGGGAGTTCTTGATCAACATTATCCTAGAAAGGAAGAAAGAAAATCAGAACAAATTAGGAAACAAAATTATAGTTAAGAAATGAAGTCAATAATGAAACTAAGAACTCAACACAAGTAAACAGGATAAAGCCCCTCAAAAGGCCCCTATTTTCCTTGCATAATTAAAATAATCAGTGGTCAGCAAACTCATTAGTCAACAGAGCCAAATATCAAGAGTACGATTGAAATTTCTTTTGAGAGCCAAATTTTTTAAACTTAAACTATATAGGTAGGTACATTGTTATTAACTTAATTAGGGTACTCCTAAGGCTTAGGAAGAGCCACACTCAAGGGGCTAAAGAGCCGCATGTAGCTCGCAAGCCGCAGTTTGCCGACCACGGAAAATAATGAAAAGTCTTCAAAAGAGACAATGCAACTGGTTACTCCTAAAGTCTACTATTAAGAAATTAAACTGTCTTCAAGCAATGTCCACAGAATACTAAAAACAAACCCCTAATATCTTAAACAAGGTTAAACTTTCTCCAAACCTCATATAACATTTGGCTTATGATTCTACCATGAATTGATTCTAATAAGGAAGTACATTCACACAGCAAAAGCTGTTACTAGGTCAACTTTTATAACAAATGGGTTTACAAATCTCAAAAACCAAAAAAGGATGCTGTTTTAAAATACTTATTCCCTGGTGTATTATGAAGTCCATCCAATTTTTATATTATGTTACCCAGTAATGAGGTCACAGTTTCTCATTATTGCCTCATTTTCAAAAGAAGGCCTACTTACTAATTTGTGCACTGAAAGGCTATCATCCCACTACTGACCTATTTATATGAAAAGATTTGAAAGTTCTTATGTAGACAATTATTTTCTTAAATTGATAACTTCTTAATCACAGAGAATATTGTCCCAAAACAGTGCTTATTTAAAAAATAAGCCTAATCTTAAAAAGTATACATAGAACAATATTACTGAAAAAGAAACAGGTTGTGATGAACTAATGTGACTAAAATATATATACTTAAAGTTACAGACCTAAAGAATAAATAAGGAGAAAATTCTGTCATTGTAGAGAGAAATATGGTATACAACTCCAATTTCATTGATACGTAATCCTACTTGTTACATTAGCTTATACTTTTTCTTTTTTTAAAACATATTTTATTGATTTTTTACAGAGAGGAAGGGAGAGGGATAGAGAGTTAGAAACATCGATGAGAGAGAAACATCAATCAGCTGCCTCCTGCACACCTCCTACTGGGGATGTGCCCGCAACCAAGGTACATGCCCTTGGCCGAATCAAACCTGGGACCCTTCAGTCTGCGGGCCGACGCCCTATCCACTGAGCCAAACCAGTTAGGGCTAGCTAGCTTATACTTTTAAAAAACTATTTTTGTTGATTTTAGAGAGAGAGGAAGAGAGAGGGAGAGAGAAAGAGACATTGATCGGTTGCCTCCCATACACATCCCAACCAGGGATCGAACCCAAAATCTGGGTACGTGCCCTGACCAGGAATTGAACTGGCAACCTTTTGGTAAATGGGGTGATGCTCAACCAACTGAGACACACCAGCCAGGGCACATTAGCTTATACTTGGAACAAGGATATTACTAGACAAAAATGATCTTATTTTAAAGTGGTTTTACTAAAAGGAGAGGTCCCCAATCATGGATTTACACCCTCAAATCCCCCCCCCCCAAAGATTACTCACAGTAACAAAATTAAGTTCTTTCATCACATCGTCAATGATTCCCCGACGTCTAAGAGCTTTGATCAAATCTTCTGTCGATAACTGCTGTTGATCAGGAGCCAGTTCTTCCCGTATCGTCTCAGCAAGGATTTCTCTTATCCTGCCATGCACGTCCATCTACACACAGAAAGCTCGCATTACAATGTACAGCACTACAGAGCAGCGGAAGGTTGCCACTGAGTTCATTTCTCTTTTCAATACTGGCAAACAAAATTCATGGCAGTTGCCACTCAGCGAATTTCTTTCTAAGCCACTGACAAAGAAAAATATAACGTTAGAAGAGAGGCTCCACTCGGGAAGGCTTCTCCAGCCAATAGTAAACGGGAAACTGTTACCAGAATTCAATGAGAATCAAGTAGCTGTGCAAAAAGAAAAGTAACAATCATCTAAGATAAACATTTCTAGCGCAGATTCTAGAAAGCATCCCTCCTGGCTATATACTGCCTCTGTTACTTCCTCCCTACAGATAACACTCCACCGAAACCATCCTCTGGGAGGAAGGGTGGTCTGGTGAGAAGGACGCAGACCCGGGGGCGGCAGAGCATGAATGCCAGCCCTCAGCTTCCTGGCCGCGACCCGCAGCTCACTCACCTGCCCTCCGCGAACCCGGTCCAGGAGCGCCCCGCGAGCGGGAGCAGCTGCGAAAGCGCACAAAGCCGGGCACGCACGTGCACAATCAGCCGCAGCTTTGGTCACTCCAGGTCCGGGCATCCCACTAGCGCCTCCAAGACACCACGTTCCCCTTCCGCTCGGAAGCAGCACAAACCCTTTCCTTGCAGACCCTCCCATGACTTTCTGAAGAATCGCGGCTTTGGTTCAACACCAACGACACCTCCAGTTTCACCCTGAAAGTAACTCCCTTTCCCGACGTCCGAGTGTACACCGTCTCCAAAAACAACACACACTCGATCTGACCTCCAATAAAGCTCCATGTTCACACCTGCCCTCTAATCCTATCGCCGTCCTACCGCCTCCGACTCTTACTAAAACTCTCTTTCCATCGCGGCTGGCAAGGTCCTCTGCTTCACGCCGAAGCTGCGCCCAGCCCGCGCCCTGCGCCTCACGGCCCGGGCTCGAGTCCCCGGCAAACAGGGGCCGCCGCCGCCGCCGCCGGGCCGGGGGACGCAGACTCGGGGCCACACGGCGGGCAGAGGCGGCCCGTGGCCCCTCACCTTGCTCAGCTGCTGGTGGATGAGCTGCTTCAGCTCAGAGGCTTTCTCCGGAGGCAGCGACATGCTGGGGCCGGCGCCTCGCCGCCGACTCTCTCCGCTGCAGGCGCTCCAACCACGCGGCGCGCCCCGGCCCGCCTCGGAGCCGTAGTCGGGGCTGAGCACCGAGCCGGCGAGACCGCCCGCCTCGCGCAGCTCCCGGGGGACGCGACGCCGAGTCAGGCGAGGGGCCGGGCAGGAGGCGAGGCTGCCGCTGCTGTGGCGCCCAACTGTTGTTTTGAAACGGCCGCGGACGGCCAGGCGTCGGGGCTGTCCCCCGCTCTGCCGGATCGCCTCCACCTGCCGTTCCCCTTCCCTCACGGTTCCCACCTCACGACCTCAGCGCGCCCCAACGCCTGGTCAGAGTCTCCGGACCCGCTCTCCGCCGTATCTCCCTCCCTCGCGGGCCCTTTCTGCTCTCTGGACAGGCAGGTAGCTGGACGGGCCCCTCAGGACCCCGCGCCGAGGGACTCGAAGGACCCCGTTCGCCAGGCCCCGCCGCGCGTGCGTCGCGCGGAGCTCTAGGGACTCGGGTTCGCAGGCACTGCGGGAGCTGGTGGATTTCGCTTTCCCGCCTCCCTCCTGCCTCCAAGGCCGGCGCTTACCTCCGTCCTCCCACTTCGGTGCGACCATGTTTGTTCCCTGCGGTGAGTCGGCCTGCGACCTCGCGGGTTTCACGCTCCTGATGGTGAGTCCAGACCTCCCCACGGCCTGACTTGGGGAGCTGCCTTTCGGAAGGCGCTTGCAGTGCCGCCACCCCAACTCGGGGGTGTCACCGGCCCTGGGGGAAAGAGAGTTCTTGTTTCTAAAAGGTGTCCCCCCCAAAGAATGTATACACACACTTTGAGTGATTATAAAGACATTTAATTTTCAGAATTGAACGGTTTTGAAAAGTGTGTATACATTTTGGGGGACTTTGTATTTCAGGTTGTCAGCCCGCGCTGGAAATGTGGTGAGGTTGTCTCTGGAGGTCTGATCCAAATGGAACCTTTGTTGGCGTTATCACCAGACCTTGTATCTAAGCCTACAGTTTGTCATCTTTTTTGACTGTACAACGTAATGTATTTGGATATTACAGAGACATTGTGCATATGCTGGGCGGGACATTCCCTTTACATTTTATCCTAGAAAAAGCGTTCTAGAGTCATTCTTAGGCAAACAGGTCTTTGTCATTAACCAGAAAAACTACCTACTGATAGGGTAATAAAAGCAACGTTGCCAGTAGCTAACATGGTTTAAAGCTCTTTCAATTGCCCGTGTTCGTTCATTGTTTCAATAAACATTCTATTTATTATATATCATATATGGCTAATATGCAAAGTGTCCCCTTGGGAGGTCGAGTGGGAGACGGGGGTTGGATTGCTCTCTGTGACGGCACTGACCACCAGGGGGAGGCGCGGGACCAAGGCAGGCCCTGGCCACGATCAGCCCTGATCTCCCGCCAGGCCTAGGGACCCTACCCGTGCTCGGGTTTCGTGCACTGGGCCTCTAGTGTGAAAATATTAGAATAAGACCAGGTACTTGTTCTCAAGGAGTTTTACCATCTTGTTAGAAACACGTAAATCAATAAAGGCAATATATGCTAGGACAGAAGTTTTTAAAAGATACAGACAGGCCCAAGGATTTATTGAGAGAGGGAGAGACACAAGGACCTGTTAAGAAAAGCTTCCTATGTATAATCTTGGGGGGGGGGGGGTAATTTTTAAAAAGGAAGAAAACCCCACCAAACTCATAGCTGCAGAGAACTGATGGAGCGGTGAGTGGAATGGAGGGGTGGTTGGGTGAAATGGGTAAAAGTAGTCAAAAGGTACAAACCTTCAGTTAGAAGTCGGTCCTGCAGGGGTGTGTGTAATGTACTGCATGGTATCTATACTTAACAATACCGTATTGTATATTTGAAAGTTGCTAAGAGTGTATTAAAAGTTCTCACCACAAGAAAAAAAAAAAATTGTAACTGTGGTGATGGATCTTAAAACTAAATATATTTGGTAATCATTTCCTACAGGGGTGGGCAAAAGTAGGTTTACAGCCATGAGTAAGAAAATAGTTTATTCTTGTATTATGTATTAATTATTGTGTTATTTGTTTGTGTCACAATCATAACCCTACTTTTGCCTGTTTATGTTTAGTGAACAACTGTGGGCAATTGGGGCTGTGGAGAGACACCTTACAAATGAGGTAGTAGCAAGGGGCATATGTGGGATCAAAGGACAGTTAATTGGAAGGAAAGATATTAGAGCATGTCGCTATGCTGCTGGGAAGAATCCAGGAGTGAGGAAAAGATGGATCATAAAGGAAGTGAGGGTCTAACCAAAGTAGCAACATCTTTTATTTTATTATTTTTTTAATATATTTTTTATTGATTAAGATATTACATACGTGTCCTTGTCCCCACGTTACCCTCTACCCCCCACCCCCCCGCTCATGCCCTCACCCCCCCCCATTGTCCGTGTCCATTGGTTAGGCCTATATGCTTGCCTGTAAGTCCTTTGGTTGATCTTTCCCCCTTACCCCCACCCTCCCCTACCGTCCCTCCAAGTCCCGACAGTCCAATCAATGCCTCTCCGTCTCTGGATCAGTCCTTGTTCATCAGCTTATGTTGTTCATTATATTCCACAAATGAGTGAGATCATGTGGTATTTATCCGCTCTCAAGTTCCATCCATGCTGTGGCAAATGGTAAGAGTTCCTTTTTCTTCTTCCTCTTCTTAAAGAATACCTTTCAGCATTTCATATAATGCTGGTTTGGTGGTGATGAACTCCTTTAGCTTTTTCTTATCCGTGAAGCTCTTTATCTGACCTTCTATTCTGAATGATAGCTTTGCTGGATAAAGTAATCGTGGTTGCAGGTTCTTGCTATTCATCACTTTGAATATTTCTTGCCAGTCTCTTCTGGCCTGCATGGTTTCTGTTGAGAAATCAGCTGACAGTCGTATGGGTACTCCCTTGTAGGTAACTGACTGTCTTTCTCTTGCTGCTTTTAAGATTCTCTCTTTGTCTTTTGCTCTTGGCATTTTAATTATGATGTGTCTTGGTGTGGTCCTCTTTGGATTCCTTTTGTTTGGGGTTCTCTGCGCTTCCTGGACTTGGAAGTCTATTTCTTTCACCAGGTGGGGGAAGTTTTCTGTCATTATTTCTTCAAATAGGTTTTCAATATCTTGCCCTCTCTCTTCTTCTGGTACCCCTATAATTCTGATGTTGGTACGCTTGAAGTTGTCCCAGAGGCTCCTTACACTATCTTCATATTTTTGGAATCTCTTTTCTTTTTCTTTTTCGGTTGGGTATTTTTTGTTTCTTTGTATTTCAAATCTTTGACTTGATTCTTGGGATCCTCTTGTCTGCTGTTGGATCTCTGTAAATTATTCTTTATTTCAGTCAGTGTATGCTTAATTTCTAGTTGGCCCTTTTTCATGTCCTCCATGGTCTCACTATACTTATTGAGGGACTCACTAAATTTATCGGCGGTTTCCATAAAATTCTTGAAAAACCTTATAAACGTGGCCTTGAACTCTATATCCAGTCGTTTGCTTTCCTCCATTTCTTTCATTTGTGACCTGTTTCTTTGTCTCCGCATTTTGGCTGCTTTCCTGTGTTGATAGAGTGGTTTTCTGTGGTAGGTGTCCTGTAGGGCCCAGTGGCTCAGCCTCCCCAGTTACCTGAGGTGGACACTCTTGGTGCACCCCCTTGTGGGCTTTGTGCACAGTCTTGTTGTAGTTATGCCTTGGTTGTTGTAGGATCACTGGGAGGAATTGACCTCCAGGCCAATTGGCAGTGAGAATCAGCTGTGTCTGCAGTGGGAGAACTTCTGTGCTGAAGACACCCTTCTGGGGCAAGACTTGCTTCAGTGGGGCTTTGGTGCTCACTGAGACTGCACCCTGAGTGTGTCCCTTATGGATCTGAGGAGTTGTGATCTGGATGGTCCCCCTCTGACCACTGGGTACAGTGGCTCTTGGGTCTAAGGAGGTGCTAATTTAGCCTCTGCCTGAGGTTACACAGCAGAAGCTACGAAGAGAACTGCAGATTCCCCTTCCTTTTTTGGAGTTTGGAGGTGCCCTGATGAGGCTCAGCTGTGAAGCAATGCAAGCCGCTGTGGGGCCTTGGGCCTTCTCTTGGAAGTTCTGGGTCTGTCTGGCCCGGCTGCAGTTAGGTAATTATCAGGTTGCAAAGGGCCGGGGCATTCATATGCAAAAGCCTCTGGCTCAGCCTGGGTGGGGCGGGGTCTCAGGGAGTCAACAGGGCGGAGCAAGCAGCTATGGAGGAGCCTCAGCCCTGCCCTGAGGAGTCTCGCGTCTCAGTGTCCCGGTAACGGCTGCAAGCACCTCTGAGGGAAAGCCTCCCCCAAGTTTGCCCGCTGCCAGACAGTCCAGTTTCTCCCCGTATGAGTCCTGGGTCCCCAGAGACTTCCTGGAACCAGAGTTCAGAGCCGTCGGGAGCTTGGGACTCCCTCCGGATTCAAAAAGACAGCCGCGTCCTCAGGTGCCAGCCCCTTTCTGTGCGCGTGAGCCGCCGTACCTCTGCACTTTACTTCTGCAGCTCCTCTGGCTCTCAGTGTGCTTTTCTTTCCTTCTAGTTGTAGAATTTACACTCAGCCAGCCTTCCTGTAGTTCTGGACGATGTCCATTTTGTGTTTTTGCTGTATCTTTCAATTGTTGTGGGAGGCAGCAGTTTCCCGGTGTTTATCTATGCCGCCATCTTAGTTTCCCCCAGTAGCAACATCTTTTAGAAGAGGAAAGGGAATTACAGGAGGTAACCAGGGGACTGATAGATGACAACAATGAAAAGTGGGAGACCACTCTGAAGTACCCATAAAAATATGGAGGGGGAGCCCTAGCTGGTTTGGCTCAGTGAATAGAGCGTCGGCCTGCAGACTGAAGAAAGGTCCCGAGTTCGATTCCAGTCAAGGGCACATGCCTGGGTTGCAGGCTCAATCCCCAGTAGGGGGTGTGCAGGAAGCAGCCAATCGATGATTCTCATCAATGTTTCCATCTCTCCCTCTCTCCTCTCTGAAATTAATAAAAATATATTTTAAAAAACATATGGAGAGGGGAAAATATAAAGTAGAATCAATGAAAATTAGTTATGTATTAGATGTGCTTGGTAAAAGAAAGGGAAGAAGTTTCCCAGTTTAAGTAATTGGCTTAGTAATTGTTGCTCTTTTCTGAAATACAAAATATGGGGACACGTTTGAGCAAAAGTTTAATATTGTACATATTGAGTGTGAGTTACCTGTGACATAACCATGGGGAGATATCCATTAGGCTCTCGGTTTCAAATAAGTGTTTCTAGCTGTAGCTAGAGATTTGGCAGTTGTACTATTGGTCATGGGGATAGGTGTGTCTGTGTGTGGTTTAGTGTGAAAATGAGCCCATTCCAACCTTTAGGCACTAACAGGGCACTTTTGTTTAGACCTCACAGCCTCTATACTTCCTTTCCCTCTACCTGAAATATTCTTTCCCCATCTTGTGTGGCTCTCTCCCTTACCTCTTTTCAGGCCTATAGTTTCTTGTCACCTGACGTGATTCTTTTCTTGACCAAACCTTTTAAAAATTGCAGCCAAACAAATATACACACATTCACAGTCACTTAATTTTTGGTCATATTACTTTTGTAATTACTGTTGTACACTGTATATTTTACTACTTACTTTCTTACAGATAAATTGCACTCTCACTACAGGCAAGAATTTTTGTTGATTTGTTATACAACATTCCCAGTACCTAAAGTAATAATTGACACGTAGTAGGTGTTCAATAAGTGTTAAATCAATAGTCTCAAAGGTGGAGGAAGCTCCCTGTTGACACCTCAGTTGCAATTAATGAGAGAATCAGTATGTAGCAATGATGCAGCTGAGTATAAACTTTCAGTACTAGTGCTGTCATTATTGTCTTCTGTCTAAACTTCTAAAAGTGCCGCTAATGTTGATGTCTTAATGAATATATATATATTTTTTTAATTATTTCAGCCAGCAGTATCCGTTGGAAATGTTGGCCAGCTTGCAATAGATCTGATTATTTCTACATTGAATATGTGTAAAATTGGTTACTTCTATACCGATTGTCTTGTGCCAATGGTTGGAAATAATCCATATGCAACATCAGAAGAAAATTCAACAGAACTCAGTATAAATGCTGAAGGTATGTAAGATTTCGGCATATTTTATTCTACTACAAGTAAAGTTGTTTTACATTAGAAATAGACTCTATAGACCAGGGGTGGGCAAACTTTTTGACTCGAGGGCCACAATGGGTTCTTAAACTGGACCGGAGGGCCGGAACAAAAGCATGGATGGAGTGTTTGTGTTAACTAATATAAATTCAAAGTAAACATCATTACATAAAAGGGTACGGTCTTTTTTTTTTTTTTTAGTTTTATTCATTTCAAACGGGCCGGATTTGGCCCGCGGGCCGTAGTTTGCCCACGGCTGCTCTATCCACTGAGCCAAACCGGTTAGGGCCTTTTTTCCTAATTCTTAATCTTCCTGCTTTAGCTGCCTTTGCCCTGAACATACCTGATGGTTACTAGACTTGCTGATGCAAATCCCCAATCATACCACACCATAACAGTCCAATGAGATAATCCCCAAAAGACCTATAGCCGAAGAGACCTGATCCACCAAAGGATTTGCCCAAATCTAGGGTTATTTGTAATCTTTTTTATAGTAACTGAAAGCTTACCTCTTGCCTAGCCGGTGTTGTTGAGTGGTTGAGCATTGACCTATGAACCAGGAGGTCATGGTTCGATTCCCCATCCTCATCCCAGTGGGGGGCGTGCGAGAGGCGGAATGATTTTCTCTCATTGTTGATGTTTCTCTCTCTCTCCTCCTTCCTCTCTGAAATAAATAAAATTTTTAAAAATAAAATTAAAGATAAGCTTACCTCTTAGCACAGTAACCTAATCCTATGTCCTTAGAGACTATATTTTGTCTTTGGTTCATATCAGAGCTTTTCATTCCTGGAGGTGAAGTTGACAGGGACATTTTAGGCATCAGTAAGTTGGACCCTTTCTAGAATCTGATAGAAGTTATGGGTCCTTTTCCCAGAAAAGCACACACATTGACTCACAGAAAATTTTGCATGTGATTTCAGGTCTTTCAAAAACTCCTGCCCTAGCCAGTTTGGCTCAGTGCATAGAGCATTGGCCCACAGACTGAAGGGTCTGGGTTCGATTCCAGTTAAGGGCTCATACCTCAGTTGCAGGCTTGATTCCTGGCCCTGGTTGGGGCATGTTCAGGAGGCAACCAATTGATGTGTTTCTCTCACATCGATATTTCTCTATATATCTCTCTCCTCCTCCCACTCTCTTTAAAAATCAATGGAAAAATATCCTCAGGTGAGGATTAACAAAACAAACAAAAACCTCCTAAAAAACAGAAATGTACTTACTCCAGGGATTTTATTACATGACTAACATTCTCCTTTGTTTTATTCTTCCGTTAACCCAATTAGTATTGCTGCTCTCTAGAGAGGAGAAGGGAGACTATCAGAAACTGAAAACATTCTTAAGAATTATTTTATTTTCAGTAATGTCAGAAATTTCTAGGGGAATACTTCTTTGGGTTTTTTGTTTTGTTTTTTATTTTAGAAAGAAAGTAACGAAGAGAGAGAGAGAGAAACACCCATTGGTTGCCTCCTGAACACTCCCCAATTGGGGATCGAGCCCACAGCCTAGGTATGTACCTGACTGGAAATCGAACCTGCAACCCTTCAGTACACAGAACAACGCTCCAACCAACTGAGCCATACTGGCCAGAGCTACTTTTTTGATTTTATAATCAAAGTTAGAGGAAAAATAATTTTCTTAGAGTTAACTTTTCAGAAATGAATGTATTCTATAGAATAAAACCCACTGGTACATTTTAAGGTACTTCTAAAATGCTTTATTTTAACCAAGTGATATAGTACATATCTTCTATTTTTTAATTATTGAAAATATATAGATACACCCCAGCCAATTTGGCTCAGTGGATAGAGCGTCGGCCTGCGGTCTGAATGGTCCCGGGTTCGATTCTGATCAAGGGCACATGCCTGGGTTGTGGGCTCGATCCCCAGGAGGGGGCGTGCAGGAGGCAGCCAATCAATGATTCCCTCTCATCATTGATGTTTCTATCTCCCACTCCCTTCCTCTCTAAAATTAATATAAAATATATTTTAAAGAAAAAATATATAGATACAAAAGTTCTTACAATTCGATTTTAATTTTTACATTAAATTTATATCCTTTTAATTTAATTCCCAGTTACAGTTTATATTCAATATTACTTCGTATTAATTTCAGCATAGTGGTTAGTCAGTCATATACTTTACAAAGTAGTTCCCCCAATATTTCAAGTACCCACCTGACACAGAGTTATTACATTATTTTCACTATGTTTCCTAGGGTGTGCTTTACATTCCCAGACTATTTTGTGACTACCAATCTGAAGTTCTTAATCCCTTCCTTTAACATACTACTCTAGGTACATCCATGGTGTTGCAAATGGTAAGATTTCATTCTTTTTTATGGCCGAGTAATATTCCATTGTGTATATGTACTACAACTTTTTATCCTTTCATCTATTGACGGGCACTTGGGTGGCTAATAGTTTTATTTCTATAACTCCTTCATTTTAACTTTTGTATGATTTCACTTTCTTCTTGTCTTTACAGTATATTCATTGCCTTCAAAGAAGCTAGTGGTTCTTCAGTTAAGATCCATTTTTATTAAGGTTAGCATATTATATTTGCCTTTTAAAATTTATTAAAGTAAAATATGAGTAAATACTAAGTATCATTAAGAATTAAGAGTCAAAAATAATTTCTGAGTTTTTATTGTACGTACAGTTAAGAAAGTTCTGAATTTACAGTGAAAAAAATAAAAATTTCAGAGGTGCTACCATTATTTTATGATTATATTGAAAGGAATTGGGACATATAGCTTGGATCTTACATATTCCCAATTCAGGTAGCCTTGGTGAAAAAACTTAAGCATGTGAATATTATAGGTTTATTTCATTTGTATTACGTTTCAAGCAGTGGCATCTACATATAAGTTATGGATATATCAAAATATTTTCTGCATCCAGCTGCTACCACTGTAGTCCAAACTACTGTCATCTCTTATGCCCCTGATTCTAGTCTTGCCCCAACTACTTCCCACAAACACTTAATAGTCTGTTTGCAAACAGCACGTCAATGTTCCTTTCAAATCACATCACTTCTCTCTTCAAAAAGTGTTTTAGTGGCTTCCTATCTTATTCAGAGTGAATTCACAGCCCTACTATGGCCCATCAGGCCCTGCATTTGCACTGATATGGTAGCCATGGCCACATCTAGCTATTTAAATTCTGATTCATTAATTAAAAGTGAATAAAATTAAAAATTCAGTTTCTCCATCATTCTAGTCACATGTGTCAAGCACTTGCCATAAAGAGCATTTCTGTTATTGCAGAGTTCTGTTGGACAGTTGCTCTACCTAATCTGACCTCCGACCACTCCTCTGTGCTCATTGCCTATTGACCCTTTTTGCTCACCCTGCCTGCTTCAAAGGTCCGTCGGCCTCGCCTGCTCCCTCTCGCAATCTGGGACCCCTCGGGACATGTTGGATAGCCTGTTTCGGCCTGATCCCCGCAGGCCCGATCCAGACAGGGGGGAGCCCGATCCCCGCAGGCCTGATTCAGACAGGAGAGAGCCAGATCCTGTGTGCTGAGTATCTGTCCCCTGGTGGTCAGTGCATGTCATAGCGACTGGTCATTTGGTCACTTAGGCTTTTATATATATAGATTGTAAAGATATAATAGGTAATTCATTGCTCTTCATTTTTCACCTTCAGTTTAAGGACTGTAAATGGATCTAAAAATAATTCTAATTTTAGTATATTTAAATTATATATCATGAGATAAAGTTGATAAAATATTAGAGAGAATCCTCTTACTAGTATACTCTAAGATCTAACTTTTAGATTTTCTTTTTTTCCCCCCAACACATACGAAGTATAAATCAAAGCCATTCTGTGAAAAACTGCTTTCATGGGTGAAAAGTAGTAACTGTGCCAAAGTTATTGTTCTTTCAAGCAGTCATTCATATCACCGTAATGATCTACAACTTCGCAGGTATGTTTTTGCCTTTGAAAAAATGTTTTTGTAAAGATTATGCAATATTATGATGATTTATCTATTAAAAAGTTAAAATAAGTTTTACAAGCCATGTATATCCTTACCTCTCCTCCCTGAAATTTAGAAAGAAGAAGGTAAAAGAAAGTCAAGAGATAGGAGGGAGCACAGTTAGGTTGACTCTTTCAGTTCCATAGTTGGGGCACAAGGAAATATACAGATGGTTCTGGAACTGTGCTTTGATTGTGTGGTATTGTGCATGCAACATTACAGAGCTAAGCTATGAAAAGAGAGGAGAAAGGGTACCTAGATTTATTGTTTAATAATTTTTTAAAGAGTGGGTTGATACTTCTGTTTATTTTCATATATTCAACCATTTGTATTTACAGAATCCAGTTGCCTTTACTAGTAAGTATAGCTCCTAGGCATGTCAAACTGAAATCTTAAATATAAGACAAAGTATCCAAGAGATAGCAATATAATCTATTTTATTGCATGATCATTTATGCACGTATAAAATCATGATGAAAAATATCAGCCAAGAGTAACCTTTCAAAACTGGAGCTAATTTCTAGGAATCTCACAATAGGCATCATGGCCAGAAGGGAGCATAGCTGTGAAAACTAAATTTATCTTCGTGATGGTCTTGCCTTAGTTTAAATATTCCTATCTCTTTACCATTTCTCTGTAAATAGCAAGTCAAAACAATATTTTTTACGTTATTCTTCCAAAGATTGCTAAAACTTAGGTTTGCCTTGTGCAATGGAATAGAGAATAAGATAATTTTTTCTAAAAGAATTGATTTTTGCCTTCATGTTTATATTTGTGAGTTTTTAGAAAGTTAATTATGTAATTGTTTCTAGTACTCCCTTTAGGTACCTACTTACACCTTCCCTGCAAAAAAGTATTCAAAATAAAATAAAAAACCTTAACTGGGAAGAAATGGAAAAAAGCCCATGCATTCCTGAAATAAGTGATTCTGAGTATTGCATCCGTATACCTGGAGGAGGTATCACAAAAACACTCTATGATGAAGGGTGAGTTTGTTTGCCTCTTTCTCATTTGTTCCCTGCTTTATTTAAAAGTGAAAGTGAGATAATTTGGAGAATTGTTGGATTGCTTATTGGAACATTGAAAATCCTATCCTATATAATAAAAGAGTAATATGCAAATTGACCGAACTGCAGAAAGACAGGTCACTATGACGCGCACTGACCACTGGGGGGCAGACGCTCAACACAGGAGCTGCCCCCTCGTGGTCAGTGCACTCCCACAGGGGGAGCGCCACTCAGCCAGAAGCCAGGCTCATGGCTGCCAAGCCCAGCGGTGGTGGCAGGAGTCTCTCCCACCTCATAGATAACGCTAAGGAACAGTGAGCCGGGCTCACAGCTGGTGAGCACAGCGGCGGTGGCAGGAGCCTCTCCCGCCTCCATTGCAGGCAGATGGTAAGGAGCAAGGGGTTCCAGACTGTGAGAGCCCCAGACTGCGAGAGGGATGGGGATCGGGCCTAAGCCAGCAGGCGGACATCCCCCAAGGGGTCCCAGTCCTGGACTGCAAGAGGGTGCAGGCCGGACTGAAGGACAACTCCTCCCCCCCCCCCCCACCCCAGTGCACGAATCTCATGCACCAGCCCTCTAGTATATTTATAAAATGGAAATTACATTCAGGGGAAAGATTGAAATTTGATTATAGGAGAACAGGTTCCTGAAAAGCCTTATTTAATGCTTTATTATATGTGGCATGTTAGGGATCCTGATACTTGTTCAATGCAACCTCTATAATCTTTTTTTTTCTTTTTTTTTATGTTTTGGTTTGGGGTTTTTTTGTGTGTTTATATTTTTATTGATTTCAGAGAGGAAAGGAAAGGAAGAGAAACATCAATGACAAGAGAGAATCGTTGATCAGCTGCCTTCTGCTTGCCCCACACTGGGGATCAAGCCTGCAATCCGGGCATGTGCTCTGACTGGGAATCGAACCATGACCTCGTGGTTAACAGGTTGATGCTCTACCACAGAGCCACGCCAGCTAGACTATGATCTTTTTTTAATTGTGGTAAAATATACATAACATTAACCATTTTTAAGTGTACAATTAAGTGGCATTAAATACATTCACAGTGTTGTGAACCCATCACCACTTTCAGAACATTGGCATCATTTTAAACAGAGAATCTGTTGCATTAAAATATAACTCCTATTTTATTTCTGTAAAGTCAGTAGTAATGTCCTCACTTTTATTTCTGAATTAGTAATTTGAGTCTTCCCAAGTTCTTTAAAATATAGTTGAATTGAATATATGTATCTGCAAGATACTACAAAACATAACTTTAGAGTTCATCCTATTTAAAGTTGTTTCTCACAAAATCAATTTTCTTGTATTCAGCTATAGCAAGACCTGTGTTTAATGTTCAATGCAATTTTACATTCATTGCAATAAATACTTTTTTTAAATATATTTTTTAAATTGATATTCAGAGAGAGAGGAAGGGAGAGGGATGGATAGAAATCGATGAGAGAGGAACATCATCAGTTGGCTGCCTCCTGCACACCCCCCACTGGGGATTGAGCCCAAAACCCAACATGTGCCCTGACCGAGAATCAAACTGTGACCTCCAGGTTCATAGGTCCACACTCAGCCAATGAGCCCAACCAGCCAAGCACAATAAATAATTTTTTTAAATATATTTTATTGATTTTTTACAGAGAGGAAGGGAGAGGGATAGTTAGAAACATCGATCAGCCACCTCTTGCACACCCCCTACTGGGGATGTGCCCACAACCAAGGTACATGCCCTTGACCGGAATCGAACCTGGGACCCTTCAGTCCGCAGGCCAATGCTCTATCCACTGAGCAAAACCAGTTAGGGCTAAGTAATTTTTGAAATTGAAAAAAAATCATGATTCATACAATTTTTAATCCTTTTTTCTCCCTCAATGCATATTAAGATTATTTGCTAAATGTTTTGTGATATACATATTTTGCCTTCTCACTATCAGAACAAATATATATTCTTATCTCTGGAAAAGATAATATTACTCCTAGTGACAGTGGTGTGGCTGACTTGAGAGTCTTTACACGGGGTGGGCAAAAGTAGGTTTAAAGCTGTGAGTACACAAAACACAGAGTTTATTCTTGTGTTATCACTTATTAATTATTGTATTATTTTCCATACAAGCAACTATAAACCTACTTTTGTCCACTCTTGTATTTAATTGAAATAGAAGTACATTTGTAAATCAATAATGGATATATCTCATGTGTTAGTGTCACAAAAAGTAATAAAATTAGTCACACTCCACCTTCCATTTTTACAGAGAGGACCAGAGGATATTAAAACTCTTATCTGCCCTAATCGGTTTGGCTCAGTGGATAGAGTGTTGGCCTGCGGACTGAAGGGTCCCAGGTTCGATTCTGGTCAAGGGCATGTACCTTGGTTGCAGGCACATCCCCAGTAGGGGGTGTGCAGGAGGCAGCTGATGGATGTTTCTCTCTCATTGATGATTCTAACTCTCTATCCCTCTCCCTTCCTCTCTGTAAAAAATCAATAAAATATATTAAAAAAAACAAAACTCTTATTCTACTACTACTGCTAGAGGCCCTGTGCATGAATTCATGCACAGATGGGGTCTGATTAGGGGCGGGGGGGAAGGGGCCGCAAGTGGTTGGCCAGCCAGCCCCACCCCAATCAGTGGGAGGGGACAGGCCAGCCACGGGGAGGGGCTGCGTGAGGTTGAGGGGGGCCAATCGGGGCCCCGATCGGGCTGGTTGGCCGCCACAGTGTGTGTCACAGCAACTGGTCGTTCTGATCGCTTGGTTTTTATATATATAGATTTTTGTTACAAAGTAGTAGTGCGGGGCACTGTAAGTTCAAGGCCATACACCAGCACTTTTTAAGCTAGAGCCTTTAAAATGAAGGCACACCAGGGTGACTGGCTTTCTCTCAGCATGAGCCATTTCTAAGGCTATCATGACATGAATAATCAGGAACACTGCTCACAGTTCTTCTATACAAAGCCAGAGTCCCTAAGATATTTTAGAACTGTGTACTGAGATGGTATAATTAGTGCTAACAACTTCCAACTTCTAATTTTTAAGCTGAAATGCTGTGATAGGCTCTCCCTGTACAGCTGAGACCTTTGAACTTCCATGCCAGATTCTCCTCCACATCTTAAATCTGTAGCTCTCTGTTAGTCATGTGCTCTCAAGTTTTGGTATAGTTTTTCTCATAGTGCTTGGTTTTAGGGTGTTAGAAATGATTTTTGCTTTTGTTGGCAAACAGGAAGCTTTTTGCATTGGTAAGATCTCCATCTTGTTACTAGCTTGAGGCATTTATAACATAACAGTTAAGAGACTTATGTTTGGAGTCAGAAAGACCTAGGTTCAAGTGCCACCTCTGCCACTTCCTACATATAGAACTTTGAGCATGTTAACTATATTGAAATCTCTGTAAACCTAAGTTACCTCATAATTAATTGCTAACATTAATTATGGGCAGGCACTGTTTTAAGCACTTTGCCGTCACTACCACCTTTTAACCTCACAACACTATGAGTTCAATTCTGTTATGATCCCTCTTTTACAGAAGAGGAACACTAAAGCCTTGATTAAGTAACTTGCCTGACATAATCTGGTAAGTGGCAGAGCTAGAATTTGAATCCAGGTACTCTGTCCTTGTTTCCATTATTCCAAACTGATTGATTTATGAAATGGGTATAATTATAACTTTCTCAAGGATTGTTGTAGGGATTAAGTAATAAAGTATGCAGACATTGCTTAGCACATAATAATCACTCAATAAATGTAAGAAGTAATAGTAAGGTTCCCCCCCCCCCCTTTTATTCTGTTCCACAATTTTCTTTTGCTGCTTTTGAATAATAAGGTGTTAAAATCTTTCAGTCTCTGTTGTGGTGCTTCTGAAAATAGCTGTTTCTACAGTAGGTTTTGGGAGTAGATCAGAACATATCTCATGTTCTATAACCAAGGATAGAGGGGTGGTTTTTTATGTAGCCTTGGTGTGAGGCACAAACTTGCTTATGCCTAGGGTGGGCTTACATGGATGGCTCCAAGTCCTGGCCTCACAAACAGAAGAATGTATCTGGGGTAACGGGAGATAAATAAGTGACTTCATGATGGGTATCTTCTCCTTGCCCAAAACTTAGATTATCTTAGCTATAAAACAGACACACTTAGCTATAGTTAACAGCGTCTTATATCAGTAGAATACTTAATTATTTTTTTTTTAATTTGTTGTAGCTGTTCTAAAGAAATCCCAATGGCTGTTCTGCTCAAATTTGTTTCAGAAGGAGACAATATCCCAGATGCATTAGGTCTTGTTGAATATCTTAATGAATGGCTTCAGATAATCAAACCACATGTAAGTTTTTTCCTATAGCTTAAGCCTCTGATTTCTCTTGTTATCTACACTAATAAAAGAGAAACATGGTAATTGGCGTACGACCGCTACCCTTTTCATTGGCTAATCAGCGAGATATGCAAATTAACTGTCAGCCAAGATGGCGGCCGGCAGCCAGGCAGCTTGAAACTAACATGAGGCTTGCTTGCCTCAGTGACGGAGGACTCCAACGTTCCCCGCCTGAGGCTGCAGGCCTCTGAGCCTGCAGTTTAAGAAACTCTGTAACAAATACCACCGGACTTCAGCCAGCAGGATGGCAACATTGTAAGCAAAGGCCAGAAACCTAAGAGCTGGAGCCAAGCCTCAAAGCTAAAGCTGGCCCAGAATAAAAAAAAAAAGAAAAGAAAAAAGGAGCGGTTGGGAGCTTCAGTCACCCCCAGCCTGAAAATAGCCCTCAGCCCCGCACCCAGACTGGCCAGGCACCCCAGTGGGGACCCCCACCCTGATCCAGGACACCCTTCAGGGCAAACCAGCCCCCACCCATGCACCAGGCCTCTACCCTATATAGTAAAAGGGTAATATGCCTCCCAGCACTGGGATCAGCGGAGCCATGAGGCCTCCCGGCACCGGGATCAGCGTGACGGGGCAGCGCCCAAACCCCCTGATCGCCCTGTGGCTCTGTGTGTGACAGGGGGAGGGGCCACAACCTCCCTATCCACCCTGCTCTGTTCGTGACAGGGTGCGGCGCCCCAACCCCCTGATCAGCCCTGCTCTGTGCCTGATAGGGGAGAGCTCCCCACCCCCATCCCCCCCACGGGCCCTGCTCTGTGTGACAGGGTAGAGCCATAACCTCCCCATCGGCCCTGCCCTGAGTGTGAGAGTGGCGGCACCCCAACCCCCTGATCGGCCCTGCTCTGTGCGTGACAGGGTACAGAACCCCAACCCCCCTGATGGGCCCTGCTCTGTGCATGACGGGGCAGTGCCCCAACCCCCTGATCGGCCCTGCTCTGTGCGTGACGGGGTGGCGCCGCAACCTCCCCATCGACCCTGCCTTGAGTGTGACAGGGGACGGTGCCCCAAACCCCAATCGGCCCTACCCTGATCGTGACTGAGGATGGCATCACAACCTCCCAATCTCCCTGCTCTGTGCATGACGGGGTGGCGCCCCAACTCCCCAATCGGCCCTGCTCTGAGCCCAACCAGGGGCTGCACCTAGGGATTGGGCCTGCCCTCTGCCACCCGGGAGCAGGCCTAAGCCAGCAGGTCGTTATCTCCTGAGGGGTCCCAGACTGCGAGAGGGCACAGGCCGGGCTGAGGGACCCCTCCCTCCCCCCGAGTGCACAAATTTTTGTGCACTGGGCCTCTAGTATATTCATAAACTTGTATTTTATATGCTATATAAGTAGACCAAATAAGTAGAAGTTTATGTTGAATATAAACATATTTCTACATAAAATTTATTTTAACTGAACTTTTTAAAGGAGGGCAAGTTAACCAACTTGCTGTTTACAGTTGTTTCGTTAAAGCTAATTCTCCATAAAAGGAATATCTTAAGTACTTCATTGTATTCACTATTCATGTTGCATTTATACCAAAAGCTTCTTATAAGAATAAACAAGTTCTTTTTGGAATTCAGGATTCATTTTTTTTAGAAAACAAAAGGTATTGTTATGTGAGCAATACTGTAGCTATCGAATACACATTATAATTAAAAGACTTTTCTCTATTATGAAATAAGAACATCATACCTAGAGAAATCAGTTAGCCTTAGGCATAACAGAAGTCCCATAAGGGACTTCATGTTTTATATGGTAGGCAACTGTGTTTTTAATTTATGATTTTGCTAAGAACAAATTGATACCCTCAGATAGCACTGATTTTTTTTTAATACCTATTTCTTTTAAGTTTGATTTTACTTGGTGGAATCTATCCACAGCTTTCTGGCATACCTTTATAATTTGAAACTTGAGGAAATTTATCTTAAGTTGACATAAAGACATAGAAATGTATTGCTTTGTTTTTCCTTACAATAAAACGGAGCTAAAAGTGTCAAAACCAAAAAGAACCAAAAAACTAGAGAAGGGAGAGTTTTATAACACTTACATGTTAAAAGGTAATTTGTTGGTAAAGATGAAGGGTTAAAGTACTTTATTCTTCGGTTACAGAGTGATGACGCCACAGCGTCTACCTTGCCGTGGAAAATGCCAAGTTCTTGGAGATTACTCTTTGGCAGTGGTCTTCCCCCTGCACTTTTCTGATCTGTTTTCGTTTTTATACCTCATGTCCCAAGATACTTACAACCAACACAACTGTTAGCTGTATAAAAGTTGTATTATCTAATGTATTAGAAAATAAATCTTAACTCTTTACAGAAAAAATGGATTAGCAAAAGATTGGTTTTGCTATGCTTTTCATCATATACAACAAATGTAAATTTTGTACAATAAAATATTTCCTAAGTAATTTCATGACGTGTCATTTTAGTTTTTTAACTCAGACTTCTGTATTAGTTTCTTTTTCTGCTGTAACAAATTACTACAAACTTAGTGGCTTAAAACAACACAAATTCTTTACAATTCTAGAAGTCAGAAGCCCAAAAATAGGTCTCCCTGTACTAAATCTAAGTGTCAGCAGGTCTGTGTTCCCTATGGAGGCTCCAGGAGAGAATCAGTTTCCTACCCCTTACCAGTTTATAGAAGCTACATTCTTTGGCTCATGACCTCTTTTACTTATAAGGATCCTTGTGATTACATTGGGCACAACACAATAATCTACAATAATTTCCCCACCTCGAATTTTAGTATAAAAGAAATAATAAAAATAGCTCCCATTTTTAAGTAAGCGTCTACTACATACCAGTCACCTTTTACACATGATCTTATATATCTCATCTGTAAAACAAGGCCTTATAATATTAAAGGATACCAGGTACATACTACTGTGTAGTACTTAGTAAATGCTTTGTTTGTGATATATAAAGCATACTGGGTTCCATAGCCTGTTCCTGTTTCCCTTGTTAAAATAGTAAGGGGAAGTGACAACCAGATAGTGCGGTAGGAAGTTACAGCCCTCATTCCCCACAGAGACACTAACTTATCAGTAATATAGAGGCCAAAATGCCTTTATGAAAAATCCAGAAACCAGTTAAAAAGTCAGAATCTTGAAGTAGCAAAAGAAGAGTGACTTATCGCATACAAACGAGCTCCCATAAAATAATCAGTAGATCTCAGCAAAAACCGTAGAGGCCAGAAGGGAGTGGGATAATAGAAAGTTTTGTTTGAAGAAGAAAAAAAACCTGACAATACTATCCAGCAAAACTATAGTTCACAAATGAAGAAATACTTTTCCAGATGAACAAAAGCTAAGGAAGCTCATCACCACTAGATGTGTGCCTTTCAAGAAATGCTAAAGGGAGTCCTGTAAGTTGAAACAGAGATTTTATCAACATGAAAGCATACAAAAATATAAAACTCTCTGGTAGATGTAAATAGACAAATACAGGACACTGTAATGGTGTTGTGTAAAGTGTGGGCCAGCCCAAGCTGCTTCCAGGAGTTTTTCCATACAAGTGGCCTGTCTTTGCTCACAGTGTGGACTTTACTAAAATCTCTCAAAGGTTCACAAACCCTATATAAGCAGCATCTGGCCTCAGTGTACCCCATATCTCTTGCTAAGCAGCCCCAAGCCCAGCAATAGTAGCTGGCCTCAATTCCCAGTTTAGCCTCCCAGGCCCAGCACAAATGGCAACCATCTGCAAACCATTTTGTAGGTCATATTAGGTGGCCCCAGGCAGGGCACAGGCAGCAGCTGTCCTTGGCCTGCATCAAAGTCCCTCCCAAGAGGCCCCAGAACAAACACCCGATAACCAACTTTAGATCACACCAGATATTTCATGCAAGCAGAAACAAAAAAAAAAGCTGGGATAGCAACATTTATGCCAGAAAAAATAGCCTATAAAACAAGAGTCAAAGAGGGACCCCAGCAATTCCACTTCTGGGTATTGATCTGAAGAAACCCAAAACACTAATTTGAAAAGAGTTGCATCCCTATGTTCATTGCAGTATTATTTACAATAGCCAAGATATAAATGCAACCTAAGTGCCCATCAATAGATGAATGGATAAAGAAGTGGTGCATATATACAATGGAATATTACTTGGTCATAAAAAATTTTTTTACCATTTGCAACAACATGGATGGACTTAGAGGGTATTGTGTTTAGTGAATTAAGTCAGACAGAGAAAGACAAATACCATATGATTTTACTTATATAAAGAACAAAATAAAGCCGAAACCGGTTTGGCTCAGTGGATAGAGCGTCAGCCTGCGGACTGAGAGGTCCCGGGTTCGATTCCGGTCAAGGGCATGTACTTGGGTTGCGGGCACATCCCCAGTGGGGGATGTGCAAGAGGCAGCTGATCGATGTTTCTCTCTCATCGATGTTTCTAACTCTATCTCCCTTCCTCTCTGTGAAAAATCAATAAAATATATTAAAAAAAAAAGAACAAAATAAATGAACAAACAAAACATAAATCAACTCATAGATACAGAGAACAGATTGGTGGTTGATAAAGGTGAAGGGATTAAGCAGTACATACTGGTAGTTACACAGTAGTCATGGGGATGTAAAGTATAGCATAGGGAATATAGTCAATAATATAATAACTATGTGTGGTGTCAGATGAGCACAAAAGAGCATAAAGAAAGTATCATCCATAATCCTTACAGCCAAAATGAAAAACTATTGACTTCTGCTGTGATTCTACCTAAACATATACACCTATATATCTACAGATATAGACATAATTTAACTAAATTAACATAATATTGTATATAAAATTTTGAATCTTGTTTAAAAGCTATTTTTAAAAAATATTTTTATTGATTTTAGAGACAAAGGGAGGAGAGAGACAGAGAGACAGAGAGAGAGAGAGAGAGACATCCATGTGAGAAACAAATATCAATCAGTTGCTTCCCAACTGGGTGGGGATCGAACCCACAACCTGAGTATGTGCCCTGACTGGGAATCAAACCAGCAACCTTGTGGTGCATGGGATGATACTCAATAAACTGAGCCATACTGGTCAGGGTTCTTGTTTAAAACATTTTTAAATTACACAAATGATGAACCTGTTATCACCATAATAAATTCAAAAAATACAGACATTAGCCGAAACCGGTTTGGCTCAGTGGATAGAGCGTCGGCCTGTGGACTGAAAGTTCCCAGGTTCGATTCCGGTCAAGGGCATGTACCTGGGTTGTGGGCACATCCCCAGTGGGAGATGTGCAGGAGGCAGCTGATTGATGTTTCTCTCTCATCGATGTTTCTGACTATCTCTCTCCCTTCCTCTGTAAAAAATCAATAAAATATATTTAAAAAAACAAAAAACAAAAAATACAGACATTAAATGTTCCCTCAGCTCTTCCTTCCTGCCATGCCCCCTTCTCCCCAGAGAGACCACCATTCAGGTTTGGCCTGTATCCCCAATTTTTGTGCATTCCATTATGCAAGACATCAGTATGTCTAGCTTTCTATTAAAACATCCAGCAGAGGGCCCTAGCTGGTTTGGCTCAGTAGAGTGTCAGCCTGTGGACTGAAGGGGCCCAGGTTCCATTCCGGTCAAGGGCACATGCCTGGGTTGTGGGCTCAATCCCCAGTGGGGGGCATGCAGGAGGTGGCCGATCAATTATTCTCTCTCATCATTGATGTTTCTGTCTTGCTCTCCTCCCTTCCTCTCTGAAATCAAAAAAATATATTTTAAAAAAAAAGGAAATTGACAATTGAGAAAAACTTCTCCAAAATAGGCCGTGGCTGGGTAGCTCAGTTGGGTTAGAACATCGTCCCAATACACCAAGGTTGTGGTTCAGCCTTTTCCCGGCACATACATAAATCAAAACAATGAATGCATAAATAAGAGGAAAACAACTTGATGGTCATCTCTTTCCCCCTTCCCCTCTCTCTAAAATCAATCAATAAAGCCAAAACCGGTTTGGCTCAGTGGATAGAGCGTCGGCCTGCGGACTGAGGGGTCCTGGGTTCGATTCCGGTCGGGGGCATGTACCTGGGTTGCAGGCACATCCCCAGTGGGAGATGTGCAGGAGGCAGCTGGTCAATGTTTCTCGCTCATCGATGTTTCTAACTCTCTATCTTTCTCCCTTCCTCTCTGTAAAAAATCAATAAAATATATTTAAAAAAAAAAAATCAATCAATAAATTTGAAAAATTAAAAAAAAAAACATCCAGCAGAGGGAACTGTTGGACTATTTTCTCTCTTGATATGTCAGTTATACTTTTTTGTTTATAAAAAATCTGTCTTGGATATCATTTACACAATGCAGAATGGTGTATCAATTTATAAATATAGTAGTTCTACTGACTAACTTCTGATCTAAATAAAAATTTTAAATCTTATTTTCTTCCTTCAACTTTCTTGTTTGTTTGTTTTTATTTTCCTTAACCTTGAAATTATGTGGTTTTTAAAAGGATTATTGCTACTGGATATATTTTGAGGGGGGAGAGGAGGGAACGGGAAGCCCTGCTGTTGGCAGAAATAGAACTTTTTTTTCCCTTGAAAGATAAATCAGATAAAATGAAATGTGGTGAAGATAAAACTTTTATTTCATCTGGCAGTAATTCCATTTAAAATTCTAAATAGATTAGGATTTTTTAATGAAGTCTATCATATTTAGATATTCTTAAAATGTTTTGTTCTGCCCTGACCAGTTTGGCTCAGTGGATAGAGCGTCGGCCTGCAGACTCAAGGGACCCAGGTTCGATTCCAGTCAAGGGCATGTACCTTGGTTGCGAGCACATCCCAGTGGGGAGTGTGCAGGAGGCAGCTGAACGGTGTTTCTCTCTCATCGATGTTTCTAACTCTCTATCCCTCTCCCTACCTCTCTGTAAAAAATCAATAAAATATATATTTTTTTAAAGTTTAAAAAAATGTTTTGTTCTGAGCTCATAAATTCTGTGTATATGATTATTTCAGCAATATTTTATGTAAGTTACATACATATATGTTTATATATAGGTACCATATATGATTCCACAACAGTTCTCAATGAAAGAACCTGACCAAACTTGCCAGCGATTGCCCAGCCAGCATGGCTCAAAGATTGAGCGTTGACCTATGAACCAGGAGGGCACAGTTTGATTCCCAATCAGGGCACATGCCTGGGTTGCAGGCTCCATCCCCAGTGAGGAGAGTGCAGGAGGCAGCCAATCAATGATTCTCTCTCATCATTGATGTTTCTCTCTCTCTCTCCCGCTCCTTCCCTCTCTCTGAAACAAATAAAAATATACACATTTTTAAAACTTGCCAGCAATATTCAGCCTGTTTTTCTGATGTTGTGGTGGCTTTGTTACACTGAGCTGAATGACCAGTGTTTGCAACTGAATTCAACGTGCTGAGTGGCCATTCTTGACTGAAATTTTATTTAGGGGAAAGATAATTAGTGGTTCCTGAACA